CTACTATTAAATTCACAGCGCTTCAGAGAAAATTACAAAAAATTTACAAAATTATCTATCTTGTTAAGGACCATTTGCACCACTGGTCGTAAAAAACTAAGCGAAGCCTAAAGTGACGTTGTCAATGGAAAAATGTCAATTTAAGCTTATCTTATTTATTAACGACTAGCGGTGCAAATAGACCTAAGTTTCTTATTTTGTAATTACTTAAAACGGGTTATACTCGGACAAAATATTGGAGAAGGTGAGTCATATGCATGATCAACACTGCTGTCTATGAATGAAAATTCCGACAGAGTTAGCATAGGCAGCGTATCAAATACCAAATAATTATTTATTATTTGTTAGGTATTTGTTAGTAAACTTTATTAAATTTGTTTGTCAACATCTTTATTTAAACAAAGATGATGCGTTATATATACATTTTTGATAGTTTTCAAGAAATGAATATATTTATTCCCTAATGACTTCGTTATCTGTGTTTAATGGTTTTAAAATGTGTTTCAAGTAAATAAACGACAGACGGGTTACATATTAAATATTGTCTGCACAGGCACAAAGACAGTTGAAAACTAACTTTCGACGAAGTTAGATTTGTATCGCTTTAACTATTTACGATAATTATTTTATATTTTTAAACACTTTTTTGTATAAATGCTCTTTTCTGATATACGAGTAGGTGTTCATGTTTGTGCCTTACGATTTGGTAGTGGTAGTGCATATTCGAGGAGTTATATTTATTGTGTAGTATATTAGGTAGGTACTTTAAAAGTTTATTAAATAATAAAATATTGGTGTCTTTATAAATTTAATAAAAACAATTTAATAGTAGAATTATATTGTTACATTAGTAATGGATTCAAAGGATTCAAAAGATGAAAAGAACATTATATGGAAAGTGTATGATGGGCTGAAACATACACTTCCTACAAATGAAGCTGTAAAAAGCAGTTCTTTGTTAACTGGAGTATCTGTTTCAACAATTGAACTTATTGTACGCGAAAAGACAAAAAAGGCTCCTTAGAAGCCTCTAAAACGCATACCCGTGGTCAAAAATTGTTGAAATTGGACGATAACCAAAAACAAATCATTCGAAGAACTGTACATTCTTTTTTTTTCGAAAACAAGGCCCAAACACTTAAAGTTGTTCTTGCGAAATTAAGAGAAACGAAGAAATTCCATTAATAAGCCGTGAAACTTTAAGAAAAATTTAATGGGGCCTAAAATTTCGTTTTGTCAAACGGTGTAGGAAATCAATTTTAATTGAGGGGTCAGATATAGTGTCCTGGCGACGGCGTTATTTACGAAATATTAAAGAGTTTAGAGCCGCTAAAAAAAGATATACTATCTCGATGGGTGAATGCTGAACACACGATATATAAGATATGGCAAGATACTTCTGTAACTAGTCATCGCCAAGCTTTTATAGAGGGATTATCTACAGGTTTAAAAGCACCATCAGGCAAAGGACAGCGCCCAATTGTTACCGATATCGGAAGTGACAGTGTTTATATCGAAAAAAAAAAAAAAACAGGAGACTACCACGAGGACATGAATGCGGAATGCTTTGAAAAATGATTTACTGAAGTATTACAGCGTGTAGAACGAAATTCAGTTATTGTACTAGATAACGCTTCTTATCACAGTCGACGAGTTGAACGCATTCCGATAATGTCCAGTAGGAAAGCGGATATGCAAACCTGGCTGCGGGATAAAGCAATAACATTTACTCAGGAGATGGTTAAAGTGGAATTAATGGACCTAATAAAGGAACACTACCATAAATATATTCAATATGTTGTCGACACAATGGCTCGTGATCGTGATATTATGGTACTAAGACTTCCCCCTTATCACTGCGAATTAAATCCTATTGAACTAATTTGGGCGCAAGTGAAAGGGTTTGTAGCTCGAGAAAATAATACTTTTAAAATAGCCGACGTTCAAAGTTTATTAAAAACCTGTATAGAACGTATAAAACCTGAAGATTGGCAGAATGCTATTTCCCATGTAATTAAGGAAGAAAATAATATGTGGCGCTTGGATGGTATGATCGAAACGGTAGTTGAACCTTTAGTCATAACTTTAAGTTCCGACGATAAAGACGATTCCAGTGATAGTTCTGCAGAATCAATGGATTACGAAACTTCATAGATTTAGAATTCAAGTAAGTGATACCAAGCTTAATTTACATATTTTTATGATAAACAAAATACAATTATAAACATAGATGAATTATTATAACAAAAATAGATAACCAACCTACTTTTATCTAGTAATATTCACAAATACCCATTTAATTTGCCAATATAGTATTTCTGCGACACTGGAAGAGTGCATTTTGATATGATAACGATACCTTTTGCAGTTTTAAGGCGCACCTTCTTCAATATTTTGTTCTAGTATAGTAACCCCATTTAAGTTTCTAATAGTGTTTCTACGCCACTGGACAATAAACAAAACAAAATTATAAACATAAATGATTATTACTACAAAAATAGATAACCAACCTACTTTCATATAATATTATTTACTATTACCGCATTTAATTTGCCAATAGTTTTTATACGCCACTGGCGTAATTCATTTTGGCAATAAACATGCATTTATGACTAGTTGGCACGTGATACCAATAACTTCTGCAGTTTTAAGCGCGTGATTCCATTCATTATGCTCTGGTATAGTATTATTGTTGTACGTGAACAGGGAGGAATCACCTTCTTCAATATTTTGTCTGAGTATAGTTTGCGTACTTGCGAACTCATGTCGACCTTGTAAAGATCATAACCAAATTTTCGGAACCGAGTAAACCAAAAAAAAACTTTTACCAGTTTCATGAAGGTAACTGGTTTGAGAACTTAATGAACTTGTATTTTGTTCTAAAGAGTATTTAAGGTATTTTTGTACTACAGTGGTCTTCGTAAAGTGAACCTAATCCTTAATAATGGATGAAAAATATCGAAGAGCTATTCAAATTGTAACTAGGGTTGCCAACTTTTTTAACAAAAAATAACATATAAAATTGTTTGAATAGGAAAGTATTTTTCAAATTTACGTTTTTATTGCCCTAAAAACATATTTTTGTGTGCTTTTAGCATATGCTAACAATTTTTTTGCTATCTTTGAAAGTTTCAAAACTTGTTTTACAATTAAAACTTTAATTTAAATTCGTCGACGCCCTGTTCCTCTTTTTTTGTTACTTCAGGTTCATTACCGAAAAAACTATCTCAATGAAAGCTGAAGTGGTGAGAACATTTAGTTTAAAATTGATTGGTCAATTATTATAATTAAACAAAAACAAGGGACAATTTTCATTCAATTTCGTCGATAGTGACATCTATGATATATGTCACCTATTATAACTAAGTACATTTTGTTTTAACTTATATGTATCCATAAATAGTTCAGTAGGTACTTACTAACCCATAATGAGTGTTTCGTTTTAGGTATCACAATAAAGATTGGAAATAAAGTATTTTCACATACTTTATTTTTATACAAAAGTATAAAGTATATTTATCGAAAACACAGTAGGATGCTTTATTATAAAGTATGGTTGGCAACCCTAATCGTAACATTACTGGAAAATGGAGCAAGTTAACTAAATGTGGAGAGACAATTAACCCAGACAGCACACCAAATCCTTTGGATATCTATTGAACATCCCAATATCCACTGAATGTCCAGAAATTTGTTTCCCAATCAGGCTCTATTAGAGACTGTAGTCGAGAATTTCCATTTATTGCTGAAGAGTCCTAATGAGGATGACTTTCTCCTTAATGGGCAAAATCAAAGGCAGAGTGTTGAAAATATTTTTTCTCTGCTATTTTCTTTCGACGTTATTCAATAAACATTGGTTACTTTTATGAACCTCTACTAAAGATACCCATAAAATATTTTGCTGAATATTCGAATTCTTCTATATCCTGGGATATAGACGGACATTTGGTTGGATATCCACAAAATATATTCTGTGGATATCTCTGGGATTTCTCGTATTGTCTGGAAGATACCCATTAGATATTTTGCTGGATAATCCATAGGATATCTTCTATATTCTGGATATAGACGGACATTTGGATATCCATATTAGATCCACGGAATATTTCTGATATCCTGTGGATATATTGGATATCCACAAAGATATTCTGTGGATATCTCTGGGATTTGGTGTGTTGTCTAGGAAATGTCAGTCTTTCGACTGTACAAAGAACACACCAACGGTTTTTTGCGACCGGCTGTAATCACAGGCGACCCGGTACAGGCGCTAAAAAAAACAACAGCCAGGGAGGATCGCTTTCTCACCATTGCTGCTTTACGAGACCGAACGCAAACCGGTAGAATAAATCTTCAGCAATCTCATGGAACAGCAGTCAGCACTTTTACTGTTCGGCGAAGGTTAAGAGAAAGTTTGACAGCTTGCAATCCAGCTACAGGACCCTTGCTTACTGCAGCACACAAAAGACGCAGACTTGCTTTTGCTCGCCAACATATGAATTGGACAGTGGACGATTAGAAAAATGTACAGTACACGGATGAGTGTAGAATGTGCTCTTATTGAGGAATGGACCACTTTTAATCAAGCAAACATTCAGATCTTACAGATTTCTATGCCAAATCGAATGAGGAGTGTCATCCAGAATCGGCATGACAATACATACGCTGTATTGAAAAGTGATCCTCACCATTTCTTGTCTCTTTTTTAATTATTGCAAAGTAAACTGTAACTGTATTTTCAATAAATTTATGATACCTCTAATTTTTTGCTTTCTTTTCGTTTGTGATTTATGGTAACATCGGAAAACATGGTAAAACAATTACTGACTTAATACACAATAGATTTATATTTGTTATAAAAATAAGATATATTTAAAAAGATGGAATTATTTCGTAAATTTTTAGGGGGCCCGTTTTCTCTGACGCGCAGTGAATATGGATTTCGAGATTCTCTATAATAATTATTTCTTAGGTCGTTGATTGTACCTATATATTATTTTCAGATAATACAACCATGAATTCCACATACTACAGCGTTGAAAATCAAGATTACGATTACGAAGATTTCGATTTGCCCATTTTGGAGAGCGAAACTTTAAGAAATTTAAATTTTCCTCACAGTCTGCAAGCTGTTCAAAAAGCGATGACTAAAATATCGAACAAAGAATGCATAAATGACACAGCGAGCATCCTTCTAGCCATTTCTAAAAGAGAAAAGTGGGCTTTGGAATGTAAGTTCAAACTAATTTAATTTTTCGTAGACCATTATGCAAAAAGTAGGTTAATTGTGCTACTTGTGTAGAACAAATATTCCACACTCTTATAATTGTGGTACTCGCGTACGCTCGTGCCAAAAATTTAACACATAATATGGAATAAGTTACATTGTGCACTTGTTGCACAATATACGGAAATTTAAACGCAGACCATCTACCCTAAATCCATGAGAGACGAGAGTAAGTGGCAGTGAGGCGGAAGTCGCACGTACTGTGCGCCAGGCCACGAAATTGGTAATGTGCTGCTGACAGATCTTTGTCTGTTTCACGCGTGATCCTATTAGACCTTGTCCAATTCATTGTACAATAGAGGGTTCTCGTTTACATTTCCATACCAGTATTTTTAGTCTGCTTAATATTAATTCTGTTTTAGTACTGGATTCCTTTCCAAAATTCCCTGAAAGTATCTTGTACGGGAATTTCTACCAATTAGGGAATTTCGATGAATGCATTGAAGCCAAAAGTTCGGTTAAGACAGAAAATGACATATCTAAAAATACTATAACCGGTCAATATTGTTTAGCCGATATACATTTTAGTAGAAAATTGGAAACTAAGGTTAGAACTAAACGGTCGATGGAAAATATGGCTCTGGAGGTAAAAACAATGTTTATTTAGTTATAATATGTTCTGAGCATTTGACATTTTATTTTATGATTTTAATGATGATTGAAAATTTTATTTGCAAAGAAGCTGTTTTCAATACGTTAGAAAAAAATAATTATATAGGTTAAATATATTTGGAGTTTGCTGATGATGCTGCTGATACTGTGACTGTTATAACTGTTGTTATAGATGGTACTGCTGTAAGCTGCTGCTGCTGCTGCTACTTGTGCTATTACTAACTAGACTCGTTATGTGTTTGTGAATATCAGTAGGTATCCCGGGAATCAGACAGTAAGCTGCAGTAATATGTGTGACCTGATAAACATTCGGGGACAGAGTATGATAAATCCAGGAAAAAGTTACATACATTAAAAAAAAACTCGAAACGTCCTGTAGAAATATATAGGGCCACAGAGCTAAATGGGCTATAACCACGGGACACAAGCCTTTTCAGGGCAGCACTTTTTATTGATGTTATATTTTATGTTATTAGTTATTTTTAATCAAAATATTTTCATGACAAAAATAACCAAATAACCTGTTCTAGATGAAACAGAAAATATAGTTCGGTAATAAATAGAATGTATGTTCATAGAATTTCCCCGACTACGAAAATAAGTATGTTAATATGTTACTTTTATTTACTGTAAAGTTTGTTTTAGTACATATAGGTTTTTATTCTTTAATTTTAGTTTTTGTTTAGTGTTAATAGTAATAAATTACCTTTTTCCAATTCTGACACTTTTGTATAACTTTGCCAATGTATTTTCTAACGAAAAGGAGCGCATTATTTTTAGTAGCCCACGGGTGCCGAATATTTTAGAACGGCCCTGGAAATATATCGTAACTAATTTTGTTTTTTTTTTTAGAAAAACAGAGGTTTGTTTGAGGGCAACGTTATACATTGGTCAATCTGTTTACCTTCTTCTTGCGGACCCAAAGATGCCGCAATTTTGGTAAACGAAATATTTTTTTCATCTGTCAAGCATTTTGAAATCATTTCCGTTGACGTCGACCCCAAAAATTGCGAAACCGAAAAGAAATTACCAATTACCACCAGCGAAATTATTTATGGGTAAAATTCGTAAATTATTCTATTTTTCTAGTTGTATTTGGTACCCTTAGAGGAGAATCCCGTGGCTAGCCTCTGGATTTTCTTCCTTGGAGATTTTCTTCGATGAATTCTTCCTATATTTTCTATATGAATAAATGCAAATAAACAAACAAAATGCAATCAAAATATAAATCAATATAGTCCAAATACAGATATTGTTAAAATGGATTGGATGGTCAAAAATGTATTTTACTTTTTGTTTTTGAAAATTTAGAGTCTTTTAGAATGATTAATTGTTCCAAATCAACACTTTTCAATTTAATAGGTTTAGGGTAAATAGTATTTTTATCATTAGAGTTTTTAATATTAACTGTAGGAAGTTCAATTATTTTAAATTCATTTTTTGGCAGTTCATTGCTACGTAGAACTATTTTACCTATTCTAACACTACACTTATTGATTAATTCTAACAAAAAAATGTTCCTTGTAATGGGACATTGTCATTGTCTTGTCCGCAGATTATTTGGGCCACTTGTTCTGAGGTGAGATGATCATCCATTTATATTGACGTATTTTCTGAATTGTTATGTCCACAATGTGGAGAGGGATGGTTTGACAGTTGGTAAAGTTCTTGGAAAACCTCAACAATTAGGCATTCCAACGACCTGTCAAACAATATGTGCCAGTGGGAAATTCTTGTATATCTAAGGGGGTAGCGGCATAGTCTTGCAACTTGGACGCTAATTTTATTCAAAGTAGTAGTCGCCAAGCCTGCCAATTTATGAAGAAATGTATAGGTGGGTTTTTTAAATATTATTTTTATTGTGTTTAACATAAAATATTTAAATGTAATCCATTATTCATGATTTTACGTAAAGTAGATAGAATACACCATATGTCGCCACCGTTAGATATACCAAACCTGCCCACTGGTAATTCATTTGTTTGGAATGCCTAATAAAATTTCGCAGGAGGCGTCTTCTTCTGCTGGAGTTACTAATTAGGCATTCCAACGACCTGTCAAACAATAGGTGCCAGTGGGACATTCTTGTATATTTAGGGGGGTAGCGACATAGTCTTGCAACTTGGACGCTATTTTTATTCGAAGTAGTACTCGCCAAGCCTGCCAATTTATGAAGAAATGTATAGGGTGGGTTTTTAAATATGATTTTTATTGTGTTTGACATAAAATATTTAAATGTAATCCATAATTCATGATTTTACGTAAAGTAGATAGAATACACCATATGTCGCCACCCTTAGATATACCAAACCTGCCCACTGGTAATTCATTTGTTTGGAATGCCTAATTTCTCGACATTCTGAATTAAATAACATGACATTTTGCTTGTTTAGGATAAGGAATTTCAAATTTGGAAAAGGTTGTTTGGGATTTTTATGATAAAAATAATTTTATTGTTTTTACTATAACTTCTAATTTGCATTATTTTTTCGAATTTAAGTATATTGTTTAAAATTGGTTCAAATTGTAATTTGTTGTTTAATAAGTTGCTATCGATTAATTTAATATGGTTGATCAAATCTTTAGGATTTTATCGAATTATGGAAAACATTGATTTTGGAAAATTGTAAATATTTTGATATAAAATTGATATTTGACTTGTGACTTCTTGAATATAGACACTTTTAAAAGTTTTTTTATTTTGGTTTTGAGCGCTTTTCAAAGATGTGTTCTACTTTGTTTATTTGAGATTTTAATTTTAGTTGATTGTGAGCTACTTTTATTAAATATGTCTAAAGAATGTTCCATATATTAATTTAATTATGGTACCTAAACCATTAAGAAGTCCACGTTTTTCTTTATGGGTTTGTTCAAGTGATGGGTATAATTAATTTGGGTAGTAATTTTCTTTTCTAATATGGTTACTATTTGAAATATAACAAAGATGTCCTCAGAATCTGATTTGTTTGTAAGTTTATTCTTCTTTATCGTTTGTATGTCGGAAAATTTGTCTTGTAGTGATTTAAAGTTGTCTATTACTTTGGAAATGTTGAAAATTCTTACAAATGACCAGTAGTCAATTATATTTTGACTATTTCCTAATTTAAAATTTAAAAGTCCAGGATTGTCCGTGATATTATGGAATGTTGGTTGAGTTAGTTTGCAGTTTGTGAAGTTGATGACTGCGAGGAACGCAATTCCTTGGATAATTTTCGTCATATCAATGGGGTCAAGCGATGCTATCTTTTCTCCCTTATTTTCTTAAAACTAGCTGGATTTGACGATGTGGGCCTCGTCCAGGCTCTCCAAACTTCGGCAATGTCGGTCCTATGCTTGGTTGTACACTTTTTGGTCAATATATTTTACCAATTTTCGCGATTTCGATTTACCGTTAAACTATTAAAATAGACCGATTTGACAAGGTTTTAAGCTATTGCATAGCTTTTATCGCGGGCTTTGAGCGCGGCGACCGAATCAAGAAAAAAAAAAACGAAACCGTAACGAAAAAAAAACCTAATACCCCCCACTCCGACCGGCACAGCGGTGCGGCGATAATCAATATTAACTTCTCATTTATTCAATAAAATAAAATCGAAAACTCGAAAAAGAAATTCCGTAACGAAAATAAACCTAACATCCCCCACTCCGACCGGCACAGCAGTACGGCGTTGAAAGCCGTGTATCGTCTAACGTCGTTTCAGTTCGGTAGACTTCGGCACGCTGTTTGTGTGCGTGCGACTAGACGTATAGACTAGCTGCTAACTGCTCATAACTGATTCTATCTCTTTTAGACACAATTTCGGAAAAATTGAATTTAAAAATGAATAATGATCCATAAGAATCCACAACAAAATATGGGACCACCATTGACGTGGTATTTTCCAGATATTTAAAGGATATCAAGTCTCAAACTTATGTTTCTTATTTCAGTTACCATAAACCTATAGTTTCAATGATAAAAATTCCTGAATAACCTACATGTATTGTAAGATAATAAAAATATTTTAAACAATTTTAACTTCTCATTTATTCAATAAAAGAAAAAAATTTGTTTTCTTGTCGGTCACCACGCTCAAAAAATGTAACTTGAATTAATATCAAAGAAAAAGCTTAAATTAATACCAAAGAAAAAAATACTACATAAATAAAATAAATAAATAATTATAATTGCAAAAGTTGATAAAAAATGCTATGCAATAGCTTTACCGCGGCAGTCCCCGAGTGCCACACGTATTTTTGTTGTCATGCCGTTAGGCAATCCTACTGACTGCGCCACTTTTAGGTTCACTAATAAAAATTGGTAATTTTAAAAATGACAAAAAATTTACAAAAAGCGGAACTTTATTTTATGTCTTAACAGTATAAAAGTATAAAAGCTAGAAAATAAAATGCTGGCAACGAACTAGTTTTTTTATTATAACTTTCCTTACACTTAGAAGCAATTATTAGACATAAAACTTTTGTTTCTAAATACGGACATATATTTATGTAAATAAAAAACTGTATTATAAGAAAAATTTTCCACGACTTCATTTTTAAAAAAGTACAAATATTACATCCTGTAGATAATAATAGAGAACGAGTTTTTGCCTGTGGTATCGACGTCACCTTAATAATAATGAATTATTTACCAATACAATATTATGGATATATAAAACTAGATACCTTTACAAATTCAGAAAAATGTAATTCTAGAAAAAAATATTATTGTTCGACCGCAAGAAACATTAAATTAAACATGTTTGGCTCCAGAATTGAAAATAGGACCATCAAATAAAAAATACAGGTTTTTATTTTATTTAAAAAACATGATAGTAGCCCTACATATAGGAAATTAGGTTTTTTCGTTCGTCCCACTGGTGTAGGAATGAACTACACCAACGCACACCAAACCTTTCGTTTGGCCCGGTGTAAAATCCACTATACCTTCCTGTCGGCGATGTGGTGTCCACTGGTGGATATTTTCTCCACCAGCTATTTAGCAGGAGTGAATTACACTCGACATGTGTATAAGGAATAAGGAGGAAGTAAACTAGGGGAAATAAGGTGGTGTAATTTACACTGGTGGACACTGCACCAACAGCGAACGAAAGAACCTATTTTGTCGGTGTAGATTAAGCAATTAACATTTTTTAGAATCGATACCACAATTAAAAGCACAATAGAAAGTTTGTTTCGATTTTTAATAAATATCTCAGAAATCGTTACTGATATTATTAAACATTAGGAATTTAATTTTACATGGATTTTATAATTTAAAAAGTAGACTAAATTAGAACCATTGGACACTGAACACACCTCAAGAAGGGTATCTTTAGAATTTTTTCAGAGAAAAAGTAGAGTTGGACGATTGCGTGATTTAATTGTAACTGTGATTAGTAAAATTCGAATAAATGATGTTATATTTCTTCAAATCATTTTAACAAAATAAACAGGCACTTAGTGAAGCAAAATTAGCTCTAAATGTATAATTTATGTTTTGAATATAATCATAGGTTTTGTAAAGTAAACATTTTTACTTACGAAATGGACATTGTCGACATTCCAGATTTTCTATTTGAAAAATAAAAACAAGTTAAATTCGTTGTAATTCTAAAACTAATTGAGATATCGCTTGGTTCTTTATTTTAGATCAAAGTACAGAAAAAACTGGTTTTAACAGTGCTAGGTTGGTTGATAGATATTATTTATAAATTTGTGTAAATAATTATTAAAATATAAATTATACAAAACTGTAGTACAGGAACAGAAATTTTCAGTAATTGGCAAAAAATGTTTCTATTAATATTTTTTTTAAGTGGCTCTAGAGGAGCTCAGGTTAAACCTTAAGACGGTTTTCCATTAAATGGACAGTTGAGTTTATGTTTTGTTTGTGTTTTCTGGAAATTGAAAAACAAAAACAAAACTGAGGCAAACCCAAAACTCTTGTTTCCATCAAGCGGACAACATTTTGTTCCAGTTTTGTTTTTGTTTTTGGTCCTTTTCCACTGGTTGTCGCGAGGAAACCAGAACACATTTTTTCAATATTTTATTTATATTTGTAATACCTATTTATTTTTTAAGATAGGTCCAATTTCAAAATATATATAAAAGTAGTTCAAAAGATGTATGTGACATCATAAAAACCTAAAAAGTACAATATTTGGACATAACCTAGTCTGGCTCTGACATACAGATATAGGTACAGGGTCATTCTATATGGGCGGAACGGGCCATTCTATATGAGCGGAACACTTGATTTATGGCTTAACTATGACTTGTACGATAATTTGACTTGGATAAAAGTTTTTGTACATTTTATGTACTATTTATTGACGCTTACAGATTTCCCGCATACGTAATGGTTTTCAAGATATGACGTCATCGGGCAATATTTTAAATAAGTCTGGGACCCACTTAATGTACCATTGATAAAATCAGACAGATCATACGAACTCAAAAAAAAAATATAAATACAGGGTGATACATTTAAAATATTGTCCGATGACGTCATATCTTGAAAATCATTACGTATGCGGGAAATCTGTAAACGTCAATAAATAGTACATATAATGTACAAAAACTTTTATTTAAGTCAAATTTTCGTACAAGTCATAGTTAAGCCATAAATCAAGTGTTCCGCCCATATAGAATGACCCGGTATACTCTACTAATAAACATACTTATATAAATTTATGCAGCATTTAAAAATAAATTACTTATTAATAATTACATATCTATAAAAAAATTCGTTATTTACGTACCAATTTAGGTATCAATTTGGTTCAAAATTTAGACTACACAACATGAGCATTTCCAGTAAACAGACTTGAATTTCAAAACACGTCAAAACCTTTTGATATTACCGCTTCCGAGCGGGACTCTAGAAACAAAACTCCAACTGTCCCAAAACACACCAGTCTTCAAAAAGTTTGCGAAAAGTTGCAGTCTTGTTTTTTTCGACACGAGTTTCTGTTTTGTTCTTGTCTTGTCCGTCTAGTGGAAAACTACCATTACACGTATATATATTTTTTTCTTCGGTAATAAATAAAAAAATAAACTTTAAAAGTAGGGTAGGTACTCCAAAAACCTTACATAAACTGCTCTAAAGCCACGTAATATTTTTCTGGATTATATGTTATCATTTCCTATACTTTAAGTTGATTAATAAATCAATAATTATACATCATACTTGGCTAATAGCTGGTATTTATGATTGGTACATTAATACTGTAAAAATCTAGTAGGCAAGCTTGTCATATTTCGTCATTGCTTTTATACTGTAGCTGTAAATTATTGGTCTTTCATATTTTATTAATTCGTGCTATAATCTATTGAATACAACTTTTGCTATCGGGACTATAGATAATCACATAACTTAATGCGCTCAGAGTGTTGTCAAATTAATTTTTGATAACATTAACTTATGCAAATATCACCACTATATGATAAATACTTTTTTATAATCTGCAGATCAGTTCTTGGGATTTTCTTGATGTTCACCCTGTTAGCGACCTTTATTCACGTATGGCATTTGAAAAAAATCCGCAGAAGTGCCATGTACAACGTGGACGAGTTAAGGCAAAAACAGTCGAGCATCCTGAAAGAAGCGGTTATTTGCTTTTCTGTAATTAACACTACGGCTAGATTTTTCCACACGAAACCCAACGATCTCAATTTGGAGTCCATTTGCGGCGTGAAATTCATTTCGATGGTCACCATCATAGCTGGACATTCTTTGATATTTTTCTTCGGCGGACCGATAGCGAACAAAAAATTTTTTACTGAAGTAAGTTTCACATTAATTATTATAATTATTCTTCCTCATCGGACTACAAAAAGTGGCACGTCGTGTTTTTTGCTTGGTATTTGTAGTTGGGTACAGGGGAGGGGGTGAACAACATGTTTTATATCCTCGTAGTGGAAGCTTTCGTGTGACCTGTCAAATTCAAAGCAAAATTGCTTATTGATGGATTTTTTTCTGACAATGAAATAATATGCTTCTATGCGTCTATAACAATAAAAAAAAATTCCTTTGCGAGCATTTTTTGTCGCCCGATTTTGCTACTTTCGGTGTAAGTGTAGGTATTTCCCCTTAAAATTTAGAACACATGTTCATATGCAATTTTAGTCACAAATAGGCCAAGGAATTACCTCTTTCAATATTGACAATACATTTAGGAATACCCTTAATATTGTAATGGTTCCACTCCAGAAAAGGTAGAACTATTTCAATATCATAGAGCACTAAGGGTTATGGCTCCAATGCCTTCCTACAAAACATTTCAAACCAAACCAATATCTAATAATTTTTTTTTTTTTTTTTTTTCGATTTATGGCCTAGGTGTATATACCTAATATGCCAGTCTCAAATTTGTGTTTAAATTCTCAATCATGTGTGTTCTGTGTAGGCTTTGTTACTGTTTCCCAGCGCCACTTTAGGAACAGCACTGTTAATTAGAACCCAACAGTGAATGGTCGAGTGGGGAATCCTACCAAGGCATCAGAATTAATTTTAAATAATTAAATTAAATGAAAAAATTCCGGCCAACGGTGGGATTCGAACCAGGGACCCTTGGATCCACAGGCACAGGCTCTAACCACTGAGCCACCCACCCCCCATCTAATAAATTAAAAATTTAAATGTTCCGGTCATCTTTATTTTGATACTCCTGCGTTTTGCTTTATCTCATGACTTTATAGAAAGTCTCTTTCTTCTGAATTTTACTCTATTTTTTTATCTGCCTATCTGCCTTTTTGTAATTCCTGGTCTTCTGCTCTCTGCTCTCTTTCTTTTTAACTGTTTATCTGCTACTTTCCTAAACACTCTTATCTGTTTTTATATTCAACTCCTTATCAACTTACCAAATAATTCTCATTCTTTATTAGTATTAAAATTTATTTCATTTTAATTCAACCGTTTAACTTCAATAAACTATTTTTAAATACAAATTTCCAATTACAAATTTTCAACCCCTCTGAAAATTCTAAAATCCCTTGACAATCTAAAAACTAATCCGACCATTCCAAATTAATTTTTCCAATCCTACTACCATTGACGTCAGAACCTTAAGGCCATTTCGAATAACGATACAGAACGGTAACATGATATCAAAGGTTCAATGACAGAATCATAACAATATAGAGGTTTTAATTAATATATTTATTTTAGGTGTCAACAAGGGTAGAACATGCCATTTTTATTAATAGTCCCATAATAGTAGACACATTTTTACTACTAAGTGGATTTTTGATGTGTCGACTTCTCCTTATCGAATTAGACAAGAGAAAGGGCAAAATGAATTTTCTATTACTGTACATTGCCAGATATATTAGGTAATAATAATTTTCTGTTTTTTTCTACATATATATCTTACTTAAAATTTAAATTTTTATTTGTTAGGTTGACACCAGCCTACGCAGTCGTACTGGGATTATACACAACATTTCTGTACAGAATGGGATCCGGTCCTTTTTGGGAGTCCAGGATCGGAGTGGAAAAAGAAAGATGTGAAAAATCGTGGTGGCTTAATTTGTTATACGTTAATAACTACGTTGGTACTGATGATTTGGTAAGTATATCATATTTTAAATAGTACAAAATAATACATAATAAAAAATACAAGTTATAAAAGTAATTTTAAAAAACCGACTTCAAAATCGTGCAGATGCTCTTAAAAATAATAATAATTGAGATTTTTGATTTATCATAGATCATCCGATCCTGACCAAATGTATACGGGACTACCACTGAGGTATCACCTTTCTAACAAAAAAAGAATCATAGAAATCGGTCAATGTGGTAAATAATTATGCCTGAATACACATAAAAAAATTCAGACGAATTGAGAACCTCCTCCTTTTTTCACAAAAATGTTTCTAAAGTAGGCTGTGTCCGATAAAGACAGTCCTTGGTCTATGATTATGAAGACTTCTATGATACAAGGCTCTGAAATAAATTCAAATTGACATATAAAAAGAAGAATTGTACGCTCTACATACCTTAATTTTTCGAAGGCCTACTTTAGAAACATTTTTTGTGGATCATTCTTATTAATTTTCACTGGATAGTATGCAACCCGTTATACAGATATTACACGAATAACAATGCAATCAATTTTATAAATACTATATCTAGTATCAAATTAATAAGGATAGAGTAGGTACTGAGGAAGAAGACACTTTAGAGGTATAGGGGTCCGATAGACCTGTCGCTTCTTTTCGTAATTTCTTTCCAAGACTTTGTTATAAAAAGGTTCATATCAATTATTGACGTTTTAAAATTGTATTTATAAGATTGATTAACTTACCTAAGGAAGATCAATCCAACTTTGTCGAACTCATCCTCCTGTACAATTAATCACCGTGTAGTATCACGTTAATCATACCTCTCGGTATTTGATAAAATATTATATCATTTTTACCAGACATCCCTGTCGTTGGGGTGCAAGCAATCCGTGGTGGATAGTACCCTGTTGTATATACAGGAGGTTAAGTTCAACAAATTTGGTTTAATCTTTCTTACAGGTCAATCAATCCTATAACTGTCTTCACTCATCCTCATGTGCAATTGATTCCTGTGGGGGGTTGATTGAGTTGTTTATTACATAATAAATGTGACTATTTCTCTATACCAAATATCAGCGACTATTTTTTTAGAGAAATAATCAATATTTGGTCTAGTGGAAGAGTCGTACCAAATATAACACAACTTTGATTAATATTCTGTTATTTTTGTTGTTGCTATTACTCGAATATTTTACAATTTGATTCGACATAAATTTGGCATTAATAACACAGGCCTGCGTTTAAATACTCTGTAAAATGTGAATTGAACTTTTCAACTGAAATTGGGTATTTGAGTGACGCTGATTTCAAATCTGCTTTTAATTTTTTTCTATCACGTAAGGTTTTTAAACAAAATACAAGAATGCAAAAAGTAAAAATATATTTATAGATACTTAGGATAAAAAAGAAAATAATAAACCAAGAAAACAAACAATAAAACCGGGGAAGTAGTTAAAAAATAACATACATTAATCCTTTGTTTTCTTGAAAAATCTTTCTCTCTTTCCGGAGAAGCTTCTTTTTGTTGTTTTTCGTGCATATTCTGCGGTAGGACGGTCCCTTTTAAGCATCCAACAGTAGTCGGCCATCATTTTGATATCCCAGCGGCCTTGATATCGCCGTTCCATCTCTTTTATGTCCTGGTGAAAGCGCTCCCCTTGCTCTTCACTGACATCGCCAAGATTATCCGAAAAATAGTCAAGATGAGCATGTAGAAAATGAATTTTTAAGCTCATGTTACAGCCTAACTTTCTAAATTTGTCCAACATGTTTTCAAAAATACTTTCAAATTCAGGGTCTTTGTAGTTTCCTAGAAACTTATTTATAACTTATTTAACAGCTGTCCATGCTTATTTTTCGTCTTCCTGCATAACCGTCTCAATTTCATTAGTTTTCATCAATCTTCTTATTTGTGGCCCAACAAAGATGCCTTCTTTTAATTTAGCTTCAGAGAGACCCGGAAATGTTTCACACAAGTACTTAAAGCAACCACCATTTTTGCCTAGAGCTTTGACAAATTGTTTCCTCAGCACCAATTTTATATGTAGAGGGGGTAATAACATTTTCTCGGGATCAACTAGGCTTTCCCGAATTACGTTTTTGGAGCGAGGCGTTAAATTTTTTCTTGGTGGCCAGTTTTTTTTAGTCCGGTGGTCATCTCTTGCTCTACTGTTCCACTCACATAGGAAACATGGGTATTTCGTATATCTGGATTGTTGACCTAAAAGCAACCCTAAAATTTTAAGGTCACCACATAGAATCCAGTTATGTTGTCTGTAGTTTATTCTTAAAAGCAGTACCTCAAGATTTTCGTAATTTTCTTTTACAGTTCATCAAATTTCTAGAGGCTTTCGACGGCTAGACAAAGAAAGCACTACTGACAGGCATCCCGACGGATTTACACAATGAAAGTACACTCTGCGCATCAAGTATTTCACTATTTCATTCAGACGTAAATGTCAGATGTAAATTTCGCTAAATCATTTCTTTTATTTTCGTTTGTGTTTTTTGCTCATTACAGTTTAATAGAACCTAAGTATGGAGTTTAATAGCAAATTAAGAGGCCGCGTGATTAACAGTCAATCTCGCGAAATAATAGCCAATGTTATAGAGTTTATGAGAAGAGAAGGAAACTTTAATTCACCTTCAATACCATTTAAAAATGTAAATGATCGTGTTGCTGCAGCCACAGGAGTATCTAAAAACACTGTCGTCCGCATTTCTGGAGAGAAAAAAAGAATCGATAACCGTGAGATATCGGAATTTTCATCACCAAGAAAAACCATTAAAAAACCAAAAACAGTTAATGATATAGATGAAGCTGCACAAGAATCAAATTTTATTTTTTTATTATTAGATAGCTATTTTTGTTTCTGAGTTGTGTTCATTTACAGGCTCAATTTTTTTCCGTTTCTCCTTTTTGATTTTATATGGGGTTTCAAGTTGTTTTTGACTTATTTCGACGTAAATCACAACAACACACTTTTTTAATAAAGCAAACAAGTGTTAAGAGGTATATGTACGTGTAAACTACAATTACAAAAAATTGATATGAAACCCATGAAACCACCAACAAAAATGTAAAGCTAGCTTCCGTACTAGAACATGGTGTCATTCGTCGAGATAATTTATCGTTTTGTTTAATAGATCAAGAAATGTAAATATTCCCCTGTTATTTTTTATAAAATTATAAGAGAAATAAATTTTTTTCTAAATAGTACAGTTTATTATTTTGTAGAAAAACAAAATTTCGAAAATTTTAGTAATGTTTCAGAAACAACCGTTATTAATAATAGGTACCATTTTCCTTAATAAGGTAGAAATAAAATATAAACTATTTCCACGATTTACAAAGGCCTACAAAAAAATTATAGGTATTTTCCGCTATCCTATAAAATTTATATTTTCTGACTCAATTTCAAAAGGTTGAAGGAATTCCAAAACACCTTTTATGGCATAATAATTATTTTCAATTCTACATACTATCTTTAGCTGCTTTTAAAAACGTTCTAAGAAAGTCCAATCAGACCAATTTAATCCCTAAACTATTCCACACTTTTAAAATTTAATTACCTAAAAATATTAAAAACTATTTAAAATAACTTGTTTAGCAGACTGTACAATAGCTATCTTAGTCACACGTAGCGCGTTCTCTGTCTGGGCGTCGAACACCTCTAGAAATTTGATGAACTGTAGCTGAGTAGAATGACCAACAGGAACAGATGCATATAAATTGCCATTATAAAGTAGAACAGCTTTAAGACTTCTCTTTGAAGAGTCTATAGAAAGTCACCACTCGGCAGGATTGTATTCAGGAGCACCTAGGTGAATAACCAAGTCAGATACATTTTGACAATTTACAAGTGAACCAGCTGCGGAACCGTAATTGACAAATTCAACCTCACGATTTCTATACCAATAAAATGTAGTACCTGGAGCAAGTAATTTTTTTTCTTTAAGACTTGATCCTAAAACCTCAGAGAGGTCTTTTGGAAGTTCCAAATCCCAGTTCTACTTGAGAAAATAGCTGCTGTTCACGGGTTCCTGAGGTAGATGGCTCAAAAATATCAATTTCTGAATCTGTTGAAGATTCTGATTCGATAGACTGTAATACTTTAGGTGGAACAGGTGCAGGTATATCAGCGTCATGTAGAACTGGTCTTATTGCAGACGAAAGATTAGGATAGTTAATACTTTAGAGATTTTGTGTTATGACCTTTAATATCAAAAAGACAAAAATAGCAGTCATCAATGTGATTTTTAGGTTCTCTCTAGACCATTCGTATTCCAAACAGTAGGGCTATTCTTGTTCCTTTAAACCAATGCCTCAAGGCTTCTTCCCAAATCTTGCAGATAACATGTGGCGCCCAAGGTTTATCTTGATCTCTCTGACTTTAAAATATGCAAAATATGCATTATTTACGAAATCAGTTATGTTTCTTTTAAACTTTTTCACTATAAAGTGTCCACAAATATAACAAAAGTCATCAGGCCTATTTTTACAACACCTACTAGACATTTTTTTAATAGAAAGTGCACAACAAAAAACGAGGTTTTAACGCGTCTCAACGTTTTGAACAAAAATAAGGAATTCAAATTAATTTGTTTGTGATGTTCAGGGATAATACCCTTGATACTAGTTTACAACAGAAGTTTACGTGACAGAATAAAAAGGGGGTTATTTTAGCCATATAAAAGTTGTAAATAGGTGAAAAAAAAAATAAAATGGCTAGATCACAAAATTTTCGCGGGCCTATGTAATCAATTGATTAAAGACCTCTAGCTAATGCTATCGGGCTCTAATCAGGTAACAAGGTCTTATTATATTACCCTTGAATATCTTATCTTACGAATAGGTACAATAATAAAAATCATTATAACAAAAAAGAACTTATTTACGGAGATGGGTTGGCTCAGTTGTTAGATTCATGACTTTGAGATCGAAGGGTCTCAGGTTCGAATCTTAGGATTTTTATTTAATTTAACGTATTAAATATTAAATCTAATACATAGGTAGGATTCCCCACTCGACCATTCACTGTTGGGTTCTATTAACAGTGCTGTTCCTAAAGTGGCGCTGAGAAACAGTAACAAAGCATGCACAGAATACAATATGTTACAGCTTAATTTTAGACATTTGCATAAATTATGATAAATTTTTAACATTACCGAAAGAAACTTAAAAAATATATCAAAAAGTGTAATAGGACTATAACATTTTGTGGGCTATCTAAACTCTTTAAAAATGTATAAATATAAAAAAAATCTGGCAATTAAAAGAAATATGTTGTTAATCCTCCCTTTTTCCACAAGTACATCTATCATTTTACTTTATTCCTATTTTCTTGAGATGTGCCATACGTCAAACAATAACCGCTTCGTAATCTGTAAATGGTGCTAATATACATTCTTTTCAAATTTTAAATTTTTATAAATCGCAGTCTCTTTAATTTGTTTTATATTTAAATTTTTGTAAATGAAGAAGAGAATAGGAATATCATCAATTAACATGCTCTCAAAATCATTAGGATTGTTATTATCAGATACGTCTAAATGGAGATCAATCCAGGAACTTTTTTGGGAAGAATGCGGAGGGGATAGGTTATTTTAGGTTATTTTTCCTTGAGTTTATTGATGTACTGAAGATTGAGATTCTAATTTAGTGTTTGGTGTCATCTTCTCTTGAGTTTATTGATATACTGATGATTGAGATACTAATCTGATCGGTTGAGGGAGCAGAGCTCTTTTATGTGCTAATGTATTCGTTGAATTGCATTCAACAAATTACATTCATCGTTACACTTAATATTGCATCCAATATACATTAAGATTTCATTCTCGATTTTTCTTCTCCTGGGAACGTCTTTGTAATCGGCACTGTCTTGGCCGATAAGGAAGGTTTCCCGACAAATAACTACGTGACAGACATCATTTACTTCTTATTCAGTTCTCATTGATTAACGCCATGGGCGTCATCCGCTTTTCATTAGTTAGCGCCACATACGTCATGCCTTATTGGTCAATGTCACAAGCGTGACTCTCAAGCGCGCTTAGAAGCAGAGCTTTAAAAACCGTCAAACACATTACAGCGTTTTACGGTGTTAAAAAAGCGACGCTCTGTCCGCCATCATGTAACATAAACTTTTTCTCTATATTAACATGGCTTAAGTAATAAATTTCCTACAGAGATGCTGTAAATAATATAAAAAGTGTTTAGTCTTAAATCAAATCATTCCTTTAGTGTTTAAAATAAAAAAGGTAATCTTTTAATCCAAGCTCTACATCTCCCAAGTCTATAGATCGCACAGGTATTTTCAAACTTTATTATTTCTAGTTCATGAATTAGTCAAGGGCCGAATGTCGGTTCTAACTTGTATATGACGCGAATATACCGATATAAACCTGTATATCGGCCATACCGTGACCATATTATCATAGCCTGTTTTTTCAATAACGTTTACCTTTTATCGTCTGGTTGATGAGGATGATTCAGAGAGAGTGGTATTTTCACTTTTACTTTTTGACATTGTAAAATCCACTAAATTAGTTTAATTTGACACTATGTGTAAATACATATTAAATAAATTGCTGTGACGAAACACGCACTTCACCCGAGAGGTATTACCAATGACCTATAACGAAAGGAAGACAGCTGGGCGACATGAATGTCTGGTAATAATTGTAACAAATATTGAGTGGTATGACTAACGTGATACTCCACGGTTATGAATTTCTGAATACTATAATTTTGTTTTAATTTCAGTGTATGTTTCAATCTTGGTATTTGGCCGTAGACTACCATCTGTTTATAGTAGCGCCTTTTATAATATATCCTTTGTGGAAAAAACCGAGGCTAGGAGAAACCATATTACTCTTCTGTACCATAACATCCGTTGTTGTTCCTTTCTGGATCACTTATAAAGGGAAGCTAGATCCTACAGTCATGGCGTATCCTCCGTAAGTAATTATTTTTGTTTTTAACAATACGCATAAGCTTTTAGTATCAATAGTACTATAGAATCGAGTATATTTTTCATATTAATTTGATATTAATCTACAAGTTTAGCAAACAGTAAATTAATGGTAAATAAGCACTACAAAACAGTGACACCAACTGAAATAGCATTAAGTATCAGGCATTCCAAACAAATTAATTGCCAGTGGGAAGATTTGACATATCTGAGGGTTGCGACCTATGATGTATTCTATCTACTATACGTAAAATCATGAATAATGGATTACATTAAAATATTTTATGTCAAACACAATAAAAATAATATTTAAAAAACCCGCTTATACATTTCTTCATATATTGGCAGGCTTGGCAACTATTATTTCGAATAAAAATAGCGTCCAAGATGCAAGACCATGTCGCTACCCCCTTGCATATCCAAGAACTTCCCACTGGCACCTATTGTTTGACAGGTCGTTGGAATGCCTAATAGTATATTATTATTCATTATTGACTAACCTACAATTTTAATCTAAAATCTTATAAATTAATTATTTATCTAATAAGTCTCAATTGGACTGTTTTATTTCAAGGATAGTAGTTGGCGTGATGCTTTGTTACGCACTTTTACACTAGCATTATCATTTTTTAACGTTTAACTGCGCGAGATCAAATTTTTTTTTTCTTTTGAGCCTTTTGTTGTGCACTAGCCAAGCAGTTCTAAAGGTAATACTCTCGCCAGAAATGAAATCAGAATTGGTGAAAAGACCTGACAGAACTCATAGTCAAAATTAAGTGTTCTTAGCCTGGGTATCAGGACATAAAGGATACCAGGACATTGAAAAGGCCGACGAACTAGTTCGAGAAGGCTCAGAAGGCCATGACAGGTTCAGAAGGCCATGATAGGCTCCGAACTCTTTTGTGGGATTGCTAAGGCATTGTACAAGGCATCCATCATTCCATCAACTCCAACTCCTTTCACTAGTACTAATATTAACGTTAACTGTGCGAGTTCGAATGACTTATTTCTTTCTTTTTTTTTTCTTTTGAGCCTTTTATTGAGTGTAGAGTTGTTCAGTATTATAATTACAGCGCTTATTTACTGACTTTGGAATGGAATCGACCCACATGTTTCGCCACAAACCTCTCACCTCTATATTTCTTCTTCGAATATTTGCATATTCAGGTCTCTATGAAGATCATCGGTAGAACCAAGATGCATCGATGCATCTCTTAGGGTTCTATTATAAAAAACTTATCATATTTATATTGCTCTTGTCGACACACCCTCATAGTTGTATGCCATACATCCAGACTGGCTTTAGGATTTGTTTATAAAGTAACAGTTAATCGTACACTGAGAGCTTGGATTTTCTTCTTACGAGCCAATACATTTTTTGAATTTACGAATTAGTTCGTTAGGCTTTTTTAAGTGCTTTTTCTATTTAAATCGTACATCTATGTTTATCCCTAGGTAGTTGGCCAAATTGTGATGCGAAATAACATCATTGTTTATTCTTTATTTGTTTTTGTTCATTTGGTCGGAGAATAAAATCAACCGTGCACTGATTTATTTTCATTTTCCACTTTTTCTATCGTTCTATTGATTCTGTTGCAGATTATCTGGAGTTTTTCTAAGATCTCTATATTATTTCGGCTAATCACAGTGTCAATCGAAAATTGTATTTTAACACATTGATGTTGAGGGATCCCAGTAAACCACAAATAATCTGCATTCGCTCAGCTTGACACCGGCATGTACGGGAAGCCGAGTACTTCTGCTTCTGAGCCGGGAGGACCGCTATTTGACGTAATTTGAAAGTAGAAACTGCATGTGGTCCGTGTTTGGCTTTCCGGGCATGCGAGGCATTCTTAAGGGCCGAACTATATATATGAACGCGACTGCAATGTAGTGGGCAGCCGACATTCGGCTGAGCGGACATGTCCTACCTATATGCCGAAGGTGCACCCGTATATCGGACCGAGTCCGGCATTCGGTAAACCTCCTTCGGCCCAGTTACGGTGCCGATTAACTGTGTTTATTGGGATGTTGCAAGTGTATAAGTAAAGAACTGATTCTAGCACCATGCTCTGTGAAACACCTTATTTTATTTCGGAGTATACCACCTCTAAACATTCTTCATGTTACATATAATTGAAAAATGTGGCGAAATGCGATACATACGAATAACAGTAACTATTTGAATTAACTAAAACGTGAAAAACACAAGATTATAGTTGTTATACCTGTAATAACTAAAAGTTGCTATAAAATAAATACAAATAACCATGTCAGCTAGGGCTAAAGGTTTTCGGCCCAAGGCATCAAAACTCGCTCACTCCCTCAAGGAACATATTGTTTTTTGTTCTTTTTATGGCCTACCGGTTAACCACTTAAATTTGTTTATTTTTTAGGGAAGTCTCAGATCTAGCTAGCAATTTTTATTTTGTGAATTATTATATTAAAACGCATATGAGGATCAGTTCGTATTGTATTGGTCTGTTTTATGCCTACCTTGTACATAAAATACAGCGTTCCATGTAAGTATAAACATTTAAAGATTTATAAGAAACTTTTCTGTATTAACAATTTTGAATATTATTAAGATTAGAAGTACTTTTTTCTACGACCACTTAGGAAAGTGACACATATCGCACTATTTAGTCTTATGGGAAGTGTCCTATATCACACGCGTGCGGATAAGAATCTACATTCCACCCGTATGTGAATATGAATCTACTTTCTGCATAAGCTGTCAAATATGTCAGACGCATAATTTCTATTTTTGTAATGTCCATATTAATAGTAAAATCGATTTGATGATAAAATTGTTAACATTAATTTTTATACCTATATCTTTATTTTTAACAAGTTAGGTACTAAAAAAAAATTAAAGTAACTAAATTATTTTTGTTTTTTCTTGGTTCATATATACATATTTGATTAGATAATTCAAGTGACTTACATACAGCGCAGTTCGTAGTGTTCAACTTTTTCAGCTCCGCATGTCGCGACCATTTCTCCACGCGGGTTCAATTGCCGATGAAGCATCTTTTTTTTATTTTTTTATTTTGGAAAAATAAGACTATTTTGTTGTTTTAAATCAAGTAAACCAATGAAAAACGTTACTGTATTCTATTATTTTTTGTACCTGTTTCTTCTTTATCGTCTTGGAAATTGTTTGTGAATAGAATCACAATGTTTTTTAATTTTCACAAACCACCATCTTAAAAAATTATTCAATAAGTTATATAAAAAATATATCTAAAACCAGTTTTTATAGTCAGAGTTCCTGGTTTAACATTTTTTTGATTAAATTATTTTGTGGTCGTAGGAAAAATATTGTCACTTGTGCAAAAGTGATTTTTCACATCCGTGTGATTGTCCCACTTGGCTTATGCCTCGTGTGAAAAATATTACTTTCCACACTCGTAATGTAATAAACTAATGAAGGTACTATATTCTTCCACTAAATTTATATTTTGTGACATACCCCGGATATAACTCATCTTGATGCCTGATGAATTAATTATTGGTTTTAGACCATGTAAAACTTTTCATAAAGAGTAGTATTTTTTTTCGTGAAACTAATAATAAAAAAGGTTTCCATATGGTTCCAATTTAAGTATTCACATGCCCTACATGCAGTGATAAAGATCGCAAAAACAAAAATCATTTGGAACAAATCTAACATCTAGGTTACCATTTAAGAAATAAAAAGTTGGGCTCGAAGATTATAGTCCTTACTAAGACATCTAATACTGTGTGTGGTCCAGTATGGAATAAATTGATTTTTAGCGTTACAATGTACTTTTGGGAAAAAACCTGAAACAGGTCGATTTCTATTCCTAATTTGACAATTTATAGTATGAAAATATTTCCTCTCTGTTGCAACACCTCTAAAATATATGAGATCCCCTCGAAAATTTTAAACAAGAAAGGGAATCACGTTTGAAAGGAATTTTAATTCTCTCTTCAACAACATAAAGATTTTGTAAATTTGTTACAATTATAACTGAGAAAATTAATTATGAAAATGTAAAATTTTAATCATGCCTCCATCACAAAACATTACTTAGAATGAAGCAAATAATTAATTATAAAATAAATTGATACACTCTAAATATTATTAATTTTACATTTTTAAAATTATTTATCTCGGAGTTATAATTCCACCAAATTTGAAAAACTTTATATTGCTGAAGAGAGTACTAAAATCCCGTTAAAACAAAGTGTCACACGACCACCTTCCTTATTTAAAATATTCAGAGGGGGTGCAAGAGGGTGATAATATTTTTATGCTATAAATTGTCAAATTAAGAATAGAAATTGATCTGTAAAGTAATAACGCTAAAAATTAATGTATTCCATACATATGGAACACACTGTATGTTATGTTTCATTATGTTATATTTTTTAGGATAAAACTATCCACTTTAGTTATAACCATTGGATGGATTTTCGCGATAATTTGTGGTATGGCGTCAATGTTCTCAATCGTGATATTTTACGACCCCGAACACTCTGTAAATATTATAGAAAATGCCATGTATGCATCTCTACACAGAGTTTCGTGGTCATTGGCTATTGGATGGATTCTATTAGTGTGCATTACAGACAATGCGGGTAAGCATTATTCAAAAAATATTTTAACGGATTAATTTTAATTAAAATTTTTATTTTTTAGGTTTTATAAATAAATTTTTATCTCACAAGTTTTTTATACCTGCTAGTAGATTGACTTACTGTGCGTATCTAGCAAATGGATTGGTGGAAATATACAGTGCGGGCATTGTAAGGCAGCCAATGTACATGAGTATATTTGAATTGGTAAGTTTTTATTTATAAAAAGTTCGCAATCCGTAACGAATTACGACAAAAAGAATGCTAATTTCTGTTCAAGTATTCTACCTACCTAGACTCAGGTTGTGGAATATATACTCTATATTCTTAATCCTAAACATATATTCTCAAAATCGAAGCAATTTCGGACCTATATTTATTAAGAGAAAACTGTTTATTTTGATGTCGGTATAACGTATGGTCCTAAAGTTTTTGGAAAATTTTTAAATGCTAATAAATTTTTCCAAATTTTTTTAATTTTAAAAGCACATGTGGCAACAATTAACAACACTAATAACGAAAAATAATTACTAATTACATTATGGATAGTGGCCCGTTATCCTCAATGAGTCGTAATTTTCTTCGGACTTGTCCCATCTTCCTTTGGACAAGAGCAGGTTCTATTTCTCTAATCTTTTGGAAGATGCGACGCCGCAATTGATCTTCACTTGTAGCTTCCCATCCTTTATCGTACACTTTCCTCGATAGTATTGACCAAAATTCCTCTATTGGCCTAGCCTGAGGTACATTAGGAGGATTGTCCAACTTAGGTACAAAGTCAATGTTATTTTCACTTAACCACTGTCTGGTAATTCTAGCATAATGGCATGAAGCTAGATCAGGCCAAAACATTATATTATCGTTGAGATGATGTGTATTTAAAAAATTAAGTAATTTAGTAAGACATCTTTGAATATAAAGTTCTGCATTTAAGGCTTCTCCCCGAACACGACCAACATACGGCTGTGAGATAAATACTGCTTCAGAAATGGCACACCACACTAAAACTTTATCCTCAAATTTCGATTTACCTTTAAATTTAACATTGTCTGGTGTATTTTCTATGTTATCGGTATAAAACCCATCGTTTCCTTTAATCTCTGAATGGGATAAGGTAAAATATTTTTCATCATCCATTACAATCAATTTATTGGCAAAGTGGATACGCCTTAATGCGCGGCAACAACGCGGAATTCTTTCTAGCTGGTCTGCGGTGTATTTTGGTGCCTTTCTTCTTTTCCTAAACACTAAGTTTGTGCGATCAATTGTTCTTAATACAGTGGTTTTCGAAATACCAAATCTCCGGGCTAATTTTTTCTGAGAAACTCCAACTTTGTCTTTAGCAGCTTCCATCAGTCTTCTTTCTCTTCTTACACTCAAAATTCTTGGTCTACCGCTTTTGGGTAAATTAATGCATGGTATACCCTCTTCACAATTCCTTATAGTGTTGTAAATGGTTGACTTACTTATATTTTGCTCTTGGTAGATTGCAACAATATCATGCTTAGGTATTCGTCCAACTAGATTGTAAATGCCCTTACGAATATCTAATTTGTAAGACATTTTGCTACAATCGATTTCCAAAACTAAACTGTCATAATCAAACTTGATTACGTGTGACGTTTTAGTTTCAATGGCAACTTGATTAAACGACATTGGGTACAAAAATAAATAATTTAAAAATTTTCCAAAAACTTTAGGACCATAAGTTATTTTGTAGTAATTTATACATAAAATATAAAAATAAAAATTATGAAGGAAAGGGTTAACATCTAAAACTTTAAGCTTGTTTTTAATTATATTTAATGTGGCACTTAAGGTTTAAAGAGGTTTATTTATTGTAGGTAGTACCTACATAAATATATTTTTTATTTGCAATTTAATTTGTAAAAAGTACATTTTTAAGAAGATGTTATACCTGTGGTTTCACAAGCAGTTTAGATAGGTATCATTGAATAATATTTAGTGTATACTTATTTCAATGTGCATTTTGGTTGATAAATTTCGTTGAATTGATGTTTGAGAGCGGAAATAGGAGGACCGCAATGTACGATTGCTGTCGACTGCACTATGCAAAAACAAAAACAGCAACACAACAAAACCGCAACACAACCTTTGAATATATTTATATTCAAAGAACACAACAAAACTGCAAATTTAAATCAAAACAAGAAAAAACCATCCGCAACGCATAGTATAATACTTTTTGGAGTGCTCACGTGTACTTATTGAGAAACTACCACTGGAAAAAACTTTGTCTTTGGATTAGACCGGCCAAAAAATTATGTTGAAGAATTATTTGAAAATTTTCGAACCGTTTTAAAAACTTTTTAAGAGGAACATTCTCGAAAAACCAGAAAAGCTTAAAATAGGATAAATTGAACGTTATAATTTACAGTGATTGGACGTATACATTCAATCCAAAATAGTCTCACCAAATTTCTTCTTAAGAATGGCCAGTCCTGACCCAGTCAACACACCAAATCCCAGAGATATCCACAGAATATATTTTATGGGTATCCAATATATCCACAGGATATCATAGATATTCCGCGGATTTAATATGGATATCTAAATGTCCGTCTATAGCCAGGATATAGAAGATATCCTATGGATATCCAGCAAAATATCTAATGGGTATCTCCCAGACAATACACGAAATCCCAGAGATATCCACAGAATATCTTTTGTGGATATCCAATATATCCACAGGATATCATAGATATCAAGTGGATTTAATATGGATATCCAAATGTCCGTCTATATCCAGGATATAGAAGATATTCTATGGATATCCAGCAAAATATCTAATGAATACCTTTAGTAGAGGTTCATAAGTAAGCAATGGATATATCCTATAGATGTTTAACATATCCAGTGTACATCCATTATTTGATATTTAATGCTTCATTAACTTTTTTTTTTTTGAAAGATAAGTGGAACAATGTACTACATAATCTAAACATTCCATATGAAGAAAATCAGCATTTCAGCAGCATAACATCGGAAAGTCTTGTATTTTAAATTTGGTATATACACGCATACAAAGTTTACTATTCTAGTGTTAACCATTGCTTCACAGGAGTGCGTTTAGAAACCTCGCACGGCGCGTCTGACCGCATACATTAGAATAGGGTCCAGACGCGCCGTGCGTGGTTTCTAAACGCACTCCAGTACACAGCATAGGTATAGCATGTAGAGTAGAGTCTTAGATTATACAAACCTTAGATGGAACATAAGACACTGCGCATAATCCCATTTCGAAATGATTCACACCCACCAATCACAGTTGAGAACATCACATGTCAGAGCGTTGTCCATCCAAATTTAATGTGTCAACGAGAATTAATTTGGTATTTTACTGACTTAAATTTTGGAAATTAACGTTGAAAATGCCTATATGTGTTGTAAAAAGCTTTATTTATAATAAACCTGCGAAATGTGACGGAGATAAAAGAAACTTACATTTATTTCGTGAGATATTTAATTTTTAAGGATTATGTCGACGTCCATATTTGTTGATTTGAAAATAAACAGAATCGGACTTGGTACATGTTATAAGTAGCAAATAAAGGTTGTTATTATTATAAACTGTTTACTATTTCTTGTTTCATGGGGAATCTTTTTTTAGGAAGTGAAAAGAGAAACATACAATCAAATACAAAAATATCAATTTAATTGCCAATTTATTCGTTTCAAACTTCTCAACTGATTTCAATAGTTTTCTCAAAACTATTTATTTAGTAATTCTCTATAACAGTGTTACTCAAAGTGTGCTCCGCGGAGCCCTGGGGCTCCGAAAGCCTTTGTGAGGGGTCCGCGAAGAAAATAATCCCAATAAAAAAAAACAGTACTATCGCCACAAAATGGAGGGACCTGGCTTAAGGATAGTTTTTTGGGAAGTAATTTTTTTAAGTCACTAACGGGAAGGAGGATATGATTTTGCTTTAGGATTTTTTTTATTTTATTTTTTATGGGTGAAATGGATTTAGGATAATTCTTGCAAGGAATCTTTGGAATAAATCAAAAATAAATTAACAACAAATGATGCTCTTATGCATTTTCAGCCTGAGTTGCCGATTAAATTATTCGTAGATGCATCAAATGTGGGAATAAGGGCCATGATGTCATGTTTTTGAAAAACATATTGAGAAATCTGTAGCTTCTGCTTCGCGTACCTTATCAAAGTCCGAACAAAAATATTCCCAAATTGAAAGAGAGGTCCTTGCAATAATTTTTGGCTTAAATAAAATTAATGAATATTTATATGGACATTTCTTTATCCTAGTTTCAGATCACTTACCTCTGGTAACTATTTTTAACCCAGCTAAATGTATACCCCAATTTTCGGCCAACAGGCTACGTAGATGGGCAGTAATATTGTCAAATTATAATTATAAAATTGAATATGTGAAATCGGAGGATAATATAAAGCCGATTTTTTATCATGTTTACCTATTGAAAGTCAAAATGAGAGTCAAAATAAAGAAAAATTTGAAATAAATTTTTTAAATTGTGTTTTACGTGTTTAGGTCTCCGTCAAATATTTCGCTAATATGGGATCTATCCATTTAATTTACATTCTGTTATATTCTCTAATTTTGACATATATAGTAATATATTTTGTAATCGCAGCAAGTGTCAAAAGATCTACTTTATGCAACCAGTTGCATAAAGTAGAACATTATGCAACTGATTACGAAAAGTTGAATATGTCACCAGTTACGAAATGAAAATAAATAAAACTGCCTCTTTTTTGGTTTTTAAGTTGAAAAAAATCGTGAAATCGAGAAATCGAAAATCGAGTAATCAAAAAATCGAAAAATCGAAAAATAAAAAATCGAAAAATCCAAAAAACGAAAAATCGAAATAAATAAATATCGAAAAAAAGGCAATGAGTAGTGACATTTCACATTTGAAAATATGACATTACGTTTAACAACAAAAAAGAAAAGCTGTAAATTGCGTTTTATTTTTAAAATACCGCCGTTATTGAAAACTGCCCAGAAATGTTGGGGGTACAATTTTGACGTACTTCTTTAAGGATAATGAGTAAAAATGTTTTTTTTTTCAAATTTCTCGCGGGTAATGTCAAAAATTAGATCGGAAACACTGCACATGTCCCTTATTTTTATTATTACTATTAAAAAAAAAAAACGTCGTAGAGCAATCAAATACAACAAACAATTCTAAAATATTTGATTGGA